ACCACCGTGTTCAGACACTAGAGGGCCCCAAAACACAACAAATAGAGACTCAGAGGGTAAGAGACGTGACATCTCCGCTGGCTCTAAAGAGCATACAGTGGAAGATGCTCACAACATCTGCTTGGGTTTTCAAGACAGTAACACGGGGCTACAGACTCCAATTCGCTGTCACCCCCCCTCGCTTCTCGGGCATTCTGTATTCACAAGCCCGAGGAGAGTCAGCCCATATTCTAGAGAGAGAGATCCTCTCACTTCTAGAAAAGAGGGCTATATCTATAGTACCCGCCGAGCAGAGTCAGAGCGGCTTTTATTCCAAGTATTTCCTCGTTCCCAAACGGGGAGGGAACGGGATTCGGCCAATACTAGATTTGAGGGTTCTGAACAAATATCTAAAAAGATACAAATTCAGAATGCTCACACACATCTCTGCTGCGTCTCGTGCGACAAAACGACTGGTTTACATCAGTCGACCTGAAAGATGCGTATTTCCACATCCCAGTATATTACCCACACAGGAAATATCTGAGGTTCGCATTTCAGGGGATCTGTTACGAATACAGAGTACTTCCCTTTGGTCTGTCTCTCAGTCCAAGAGTGTTTGTACGGTGTACGGAAGCCGCGATAGCCCCGTTAAGACAACAGGGTATTCGCCTGGCGACCTACCTAGACGACTGGCTGCTTCTCGCACAGTCGGAGCAGGAGACTATTACGCAGACAAATGTCCTCGTAAAGCACCTGCTCAACCTGGGTTTCATAATAAACACAGAGAAGAGCATGTTGTGCCCAGCACAGACTATACTCTTCCTGGGTTTACACCTGAACTCGTGCCCTTTACAGCCCGCCTGTCAGCTTGTCTCGCTCATTTCCAGCTGGGCAAACATGTTCTCTTCAGATCATGCCTGCGGTTACTGGGGCTCATGGCGTCAGCCATCCTGGTCGTACGACTGGGACGCTTACACATGAGGGAGTTTCAGCGCTGGGTAGCCACTCTAAAACTAAACCCCGCGCGTCATGGCGCGCGGAGAGTAATGGTTACTGTGAAATGCGTAAGGGCACTGCGCCACTGGCTGCACCCGACTTTTCTAGTACGGGGCGTGCCTATGGGTGCTGTCCTTTCACGGAAGGTGGTCACCACGGACGCATGTCTGACAGGCTGGGGAGGTATTTACGAAGGTCGTCCGGTGAGGGGTCTCTGGAGCAGAGACCTCCAGCGGGCGCACATAAATTACCTGGAGCTTTTAGCGGTGTTTCTCACCCTAAAACGCTTTCTGCCTTTTCTCAGAGGACATCATGTTCTCATGAAGACAGACAACACGACCACAATATCGTATATAAACCGCCAAGGGGGTTTGCGTTCTCTCCAGTTACACATGCTGGCACGCAAACTGATCTTATGGAGCGGCAGACGTCTCCTCTCTCTGAGAGCGACGCACGTACCAGGAGTGATGAACCTCGGGACGGATCTACTGTCCAGAGGTGCACCACTATATGCAGACTGGACTCTACATCCAAGGATTGTGAGTTCGCTGTGGGTGCGTTACGGCAGAGCCGCGGTAGATCTGTTGGCATCAAAAGAAAATGCTCAATGTCAGCTATTCTTTTCAATGCGCGATTTAAACGCACCATTAGGCGTGGACGCGCTCGCGCACGTTTGGCCTCCGGGCCTTCTGTACGCATTCCCATCCCTGGCTCTGATACCCCCCAACTCTGGCCAGAGTGAGGGTACGCCACACACTTATCCTGATAGCTCCGCACTAGCCCGCAATGTACTGGCTGGCGGAGATATATCAGCTGCTGTGCGGGCAGCCATGGCAGCTCCCACTACGCAGGGACATACTGTCTCAGGCGGGGGGGGCGATCTTTCACCCACACCCAGAGCGCTTGGCACTATGGGCCTGGCCCGTGAGTGGTACAATCTGAATACAGTGGGACTCCCTCAGAAGGTGATAAACACTATTCAGAGTGCGAGAGCTTCCTCCACCAGGTCTCTCTATGACTGTAAGTGGAGGGTGTTTGAGGAGTGGTGCCTTCAAAAAGGACACATCTCTTCTCAATGTCCTGTCGGGGTGATTTTATCATTTCTACAGGACTTAATTGATAAACACAGAGCTTTCTCTACGATCAAAGTGTACCTGGCTGCTATTGCTGCATGCCATGTGGGCTTTGAGGGAAAGACGGCTAGCCAACATCCTTTGGTCTGCCGTTTTATGAAAGGGGCTCACAGGCTCCTCCCTGTTTCCAGGTCACTGGTGCCCTTATGGGACTTGGCAGTGGTTTTAGATGGGCTCACTCTAACCCCATTTGAACCCCTTGAAGAAGCTGACATGAAGCACTTGTCACTCAAGACAGTGCTGTTACTGGCCCTGGCATCCGCCAAGCGAGTCAGTGTCATTCATGCGCTATCTGTACATCCTTCATGCACTCAGTTTGCCCCAGGGCAAACGAGAGTGTTGTTGAAGCCCAACCCTGCCTTTATACCTAAGGTGGTTGGTTCATGTACCCCAATTGACATTGAGGCATTTCCTCCGCCGCTGTGTTCCTCCGGGGAACAGCAGCCGGATTTGCTGTGTCCAGTCCGTGCTTTACGCACCTATATGGACAGATCAAAAGAGTTTCGTCATAATGACCAACTCTTTGTGTCCTGGGCTAACCCTCAGAAGGGCAAGCCCGTTACTAAGCAACGGCTCTCCCACTGGATTGTGGAGGCAATTGCTTTGGCCTATACGAGTCAGGGTTTGCAGGCACCTTCGGGTCTGCGTGCTCATTCGACTCGTGGTCTGGCTACATCCTGGGCTTTGTTCAAGGGTGTTTCCATCCAAGACATTTGTGCAGCAGCGAGCTGGTCCTCGCCGCTCACTTTTGTCCGCTTTTACAGGCTAGACGTCTCTGCTCCTAGTGTGGCCCGAGCAGTGCTGGGCACCTTGTTGAGTCAGAGCTATACCTGTTAAGTTCTGGTTGGTTTGGTAAATTTCGAGATAAGCTCGTCTGGCAATACGGGAGCTACAATATCCCATAGTGAGACATCGAACGGAGTGTTATGAATGAGAACTATAGGTTACTTACGTAACCCCAGTTCTCAGAGTAACATGTAGTGAGATGTCTCACCAGATGGCCCTCCTTGCTATGGTGAAGCGAGAAGAGGTGCTTATTTTGAATGACGTATGCGACGTAGCGCAAGCTACTTATAGGGGGTGGATTCCCTGACGCTGACGTCAAGATCACCAGCCAATCAGGATTGGCGTAATGAGATTGATGCTTCTGTTTGCTCCGCGATGAGGCGCATCCCATAGTGAGACATCTCACTACTTACTCTGAGAACTGGGGTTACGTAAGTAACCTATAGTTTTATATCCATCCAGTCATCATTAACCCTATAGCGTCTTCCTGATGGGAGCAGTTTGTAATCTGATTACAGGACACAGGAGGTGATCATTTTTCAAGTCTTTTGATGCAATAGTGCATTTTTGAAAATGCATTTAATTGCTGTGAGGAGCAGTTTGTTTATTTGTAATATGAGCTTAACTGATATATTACGGAACTAATGTGCGGGTATGTAACATAATATAATTAGGGATGCACGATAATTATCGGCCCGATAATTATCGGTCCGATATTAGGAATTATGACGTCATCCCGATAAACCCGATACCAGTATTAATAGCCCCGATAATATACAATATATTTTTGGGTAAAAAAAAAGAAAAAAATACTGCGGTGTGGGTGGATTGGGATGAGGGGCGCTTGTTTTTCACTCGGCTCCTCCCGTTTTGCCAGTACTGTGGTATTAGTGGTTTAGGAAGAGGGGAGTTTTTCACAAATCCAGCGCTCCCTAACTCATGTCTGGCTCTGACGTAAATGGTGTGCGGCCGTGAAGCCAGGACAGTAAACAAACATGTCGTCGGTGGTATGGGCGTTGGAGCTATGTGCAACTCAAGGCATATGCTCGAACCGGAGCTGCCTGGACGCTGCAATCATGTTGCGCACTATCCGTGCTGAGTGTGCTGACTTTTCGTACAATGTCCCACTGTCTGGCTTCCTGCATAAAGTCAAGTGCTCGGCGCAGTTGTGGCGAAATGTCGCTCCTCTGTTTTCATTTAAACAGCTACGTATATCCGTTAGCGCAGCTAGCTAGCACCAGATGCTAACAACAACAATGCACGTAAGGTCTCTCTCTCGCTCACTCGGGCCACACATACACACACCCTCCCGGTCCTCCAGATGGCCAGTCGGTGCCTGCCGGTGAGCGTGGAAGTGTGGTCTGCCACAAGCGGGCGACAGGAGCGGGGCTGTCAGCATCAGCTTGTAGATGGTATTTTAAACTCGATGTGCTCTGAAACTACGGGGCGGCCGAGGAAAAAAAATACACATGCGTTAATCGCGTTAAAATAATTAGTGGCGTACATTTTTTTTTATTATCGGTATCGGTCTTGAGAAGCAGGAAGTTGTCGGTATCGGTATCGGTTTCAAAAAACCAATATCGTGCATCCCTAAATATAATGTCTAATTATTACAGCATTATAAAATACCATAACTATCAAACCCCAAACAAGTCAAATAAGTGCAAGAAGTGACAAACTAAAATGTGATTTTTATGTGACATACTACGCTTTGATTTTTTATGATGTATTAAGAACAGCTGGGATGATGCTTAACGTCATTTGAACCCTAACCCAGAATGGGAAATCTCATTATAAATAATAATGTAGAATTCAAATAACAATACTGCCTTATACCCTTTGGGGGAGAAGAGTAAAAAAAACCGATATTAAGCACATGGAAATATTAAAAATCTGTATTTCCTTTCTTCAACACTACACATTGTTTGTGGTTCCTGAGTTATTGGCTCCTTAGAATAGACATTGTGGTAACTGCTCTTAAGAAAAACAGGTATTTGGTTTATAAAACCATTGACCTGAAATAGATGTAAACTGGCATGCCTATTTTGTGACTGCAAAAGTCTAAACATGACTTATTGTCAGTAGAGAAGTGCCGTATTTACCTATTGCTACAGCTGTCTCTGGTTTCAGTAAATACACTACTGCTAAGATGTGGAGCTGCATGGCTGCCAGGGGAACATGAGCTGTCCTTTAACTATAGGCAGACATTAGGACCCAGGGGAGGCTGGGCTCTAGTAGGGAGACAGTGGAGTGTGTGTCTATTTGAAAGCAAAAAACAAACACAATACAATGTGTGCCTGTCACTGCCATACACAGCACAGGACAGGAATAAGAGTGTTACTGGAAGAGGGGTGAGAAGAGAGGGGAAGCATCATGTACCATCAAAAAACATCATGGAACCAGTTCTTCTTCAACTGGAGATAACAATGGTGATGCATCTGGACCTCTGGAGGAGCCTCTATACTGAATGACTAAACCTCACACACTGAATGATCTGGATTTGATGAATTTTCAGCTGGAAGACTGATTTTTTTTTTCTTCTGGAAAATACATTAATCAAGCTGGGTTTGGCCCAGTGTACCAAACAAAAAGTGGGAATTTAACAGTAGCTTTGTGAAGTCAAACACCTGGTCAACCTGTTAAGTGTGAATTGAAACACACAAACACAGAGTGAATCATGGGTAAGTACATTTATGCATAATCAGAATATTTTTTTATGCTGAATATGTTTTAATCTAGACAGAATGTACTTTTGTGTGTTTACCACTCAATGACATCTGAAGGGATTGATATCAGCCTCCCTGATAGGTTAAATGTCCCACAATTGTTAAGACTGATTGTTAAAAATCAATTGATTTAACTGCAACGATTTATGTCCAGGAACAATTTGTGACAAAATTTAAAATGGCTTTTTTTTCTTCAAACTGCATTAACAATGGGTTCAGAGCTTTTTAAGACAGGTGAAAGCTGGGGAACCTTGTAACCTGTCAGCACTCTGAAAGAAAGTAAATACATGTATTTTCCCCGATATAAATTGTTGTAGAGTTTCTCAAAAGAGAATTCACAGATGTATTGTCACACAAAAATATATATTAGACCCCAGTTGGCTAACATATCATTTCTTTTTGTCCTCACAACTCTTATCTTTAACATCAGTGTTGAATGGCCCTCAAGGGGAGACAATAGAACAATTGTAGTCTTGCTGTATTCTACTGTAAACAGTTTCCAATGTATCCATAAGTGTATCTGTTTACACTCAAAACGTGTAGGTATGGCACACTTCAGTTTTTTAATTAAGCACTTAAAAAGTCTGAAACACCACCTAAAACATGTTTTTAAATAACTACTTTTGGTCTACTCAACACAGGACATCCAAATATGGCGACATCAGAGATGGAAGCGGAGGTTGTGAATAAATGATGGCCGCCAACACCGGTCTGATGATAGCCGCTGTGCCACATCACTCAGTGACAAATCTAAACAACACCCAAACGGAGCCCAATCCTACGGTCCCTGCTGACCTGGGCGTCGTCACCAGCTCCCAGTCACAGATCAAAGACCTTTTCGGGTTGTTCTGCATGGTGACCCTTAACCTCATTGCTTTGTTGGCCAACACTGGAGTGATGGTGGCCATCGCTCGTGCTCCTCACCTGAAGAGGTTTGCTTTCGTGTGTCACCTTTGCGCAGTGGACCTGCTGTGTGCCATCCTCCTCATGCCCTTGGGTATCATATCCAGTTCGGCGTTCTTTGGCACCGTGGTGTTTACAGTCCTGGAGTGTCAGGTTTACATTTTTCTCAATGTTTTCCTCATCTGTCTCTCCATTCTCACCATCACAGCCATCAGTGTGGAGCGTTACTTTTATATCGTACACCCCATGCGTTATGAAGTCAAGATGACCATTAACCTCGCTATTGGTGTCATGCTCCTGATCTGGGTGAAGTCAGTCCTCTTAGCTATGGTCCCACTTTTCGGATGGCCAGCTTATGGACCTCAGAGCTCTATTGCCGCAGCTCACTGCTCTCTCCACGCGAGCCACAGTCGTCTAAGAAGTGTATTTTCTGTGCTCTTTAGTGTGGCTTGTTTTCTGTTTCCTGCAGTAGTTATTTTTGGTGTTTATGGTGCCGTGTACAAGGTAGCTCGCTCCGCAGCCCTGCAGCAAGTCCCTGCTGTGCCGGCGTGGGCAAATGCAAGCCTTGCTAAAAATCGCTCAGACTCCATCAACAGCCAGACCACCATGATCACCACCACACGCTCCCTGCCCCAAAGACTGTCTCCTGAGAGGGCCTTCAGTGGAGGAAAGGCTGCCCTAACATTGGTATTAATTGTTGGACAGTTCTTTGTTTGTTGGTTACCCTACTTCATCTTCCACATGCAAATGTCTCTGACTGGCTCCATGAAAAGCCCTGGGGACTTGGAGGAGGCAGTCACATGGCTGGCCTATTCCTCTTTTGCCATCAACCCGTTCTTTTACGGCCTCTTGAACAGGCAGATCAGAGAAGAGCTAGTTAAGTTCCGACGTTGCTGCTTGACCCAGCCGGCAGATTTTGGGACATCTAGCCACGAAGGCTCCCTTCAGGAGAATTTCCTCCAGTTCATCCAGAGAACCAGCAGCAGCAAAGCTGAAACCCCGTCCAGCTGTGCCACCTCAAACCCCGGAAACACTACGGACCAGGGGGTTAAGATCCCTGGACAAATTCCTGAAGAGCAGGCTTAGACATTGACCAACATGGGTGATGGACCACAGTGCTAATATAAAGGACATGTTGTTTTTTATGTAAGCAGGACATTTTCATATTGGATAGCTTCATAATCTAAGAAATGTAAGATGATGTAAACGTTGAAATGATTATTGATCACTGGAATACCTTCTCCTATCCATTCTGGCAACAATGAGGTCATTTCTTCAATAATTTTATATTTAATGATCCAAATAAAGAACTCATATTTCATGAGTGACTGGAGTTGGTCTCATATTGCATCATATGCAATGTGACCCTTGCACAAGAATCCATTGATATTTGTATTAAAATGATCCCTTCTTTTAACTGAAGTGATGGAGGTCAACATTCCAAGTCATTGTTTGTTGCAAAAACTTGATTTGTCTGCTGAAGCCATTACATCCAGTTAATATTAATGGTATTTCTTAAATAATATATATCCATAAAGTTTTTAGAAAGGCGTAGAATAAAAGTATTGCTTTGCCTGAAATAAAAAATATTAAGATTGTTAATCGATTATTTTAAACATGTTGTCAGGTCCAAAATGTATGTTTTGTTTCTTTTCATTCTACAATTCAGGGAGGCTTTTTTTCATTTTAGGTCAATGTGCTATGATTTTACTGAAACATGAACTATTGAAATAGACATGATCCCCTGTGCTTATTTTCTAATTGTATTTCAATTAGCCTGGTTTTATTGATGTTTTGATAAAGGTTATTTATGAAAATCTGGAGTGTAACCAAAATAACAAGGTTATAATTGAAGGGATATTAAAATGATTTATTGCCTTTAACTGGGAACAATTTGTATTCCATATGAACATGGGTTGCTTCCACTGCATCCTTGTTTTTGTGTCAAAAACAAACATGTATATTCAAATGTTATAGAGTCACCATGACAAACCAAGACTAGAAACTAACATAGGTAAATGTTGGATGTAAATGAAGTATTGCTAACACGAAGGCTTCTGCAGTGTGGCACGCTCTCATGAATCTGAGGGACAATACCCAGAGTTCCTGCGCGCAACAGATATGCTGATTGGCAGCGATTGTCATTCGCCCCTGTCGTCATGGAAATTAAGTGAGCCTGTGACTCACATAGCAACGAGCACCTTTAGGCTGGAAATATGCTTATGGATGTATAGCTCTGAATCCTGATTGGAGTCTGTCCGCCAATTTATGGCTTTCGCCTGCTTTTCACATGCAGACAGATTACACAGAGCTCATAGGTTCAGAGAGAGATCATTAACATGTGAATAGAGGCTGAGACCAAGGTTTCCAAGTCCCTGCAAATATGAACTGCTAAAATATGGACATGGGAACGTGGCAAAGATAGTGAATTTACAATGGAAATCACTATCGTGGATTGATAATGCTCTGAGAGTGGTAACAAAGTGCTGTTTTATGGCCTCTACTGTTTGTATTAGCTTTTCACTACCATCGGTCATGACGAAAAAGTGTGGATAAGCAAATAATGGTATACACCGCTCTTACATAACTGTGGTTGTGTGCTTAATACTGAGAGGTGAAAACTGGAATATATTTGTATACATAAACAAACACAGCATTCTGTGAGAGTTTGTTATCCCTATAATATCTGTATGTTTGTTTCTTTGTGTCTTTTTATTTCCCTTTTTCAAATTGATTTATGAGACCGCCAGGGCTGACAATATGAAGTAAAAACAATCCATACCTTGCTTGCTGAGGTTTGAATTACCTAAACCCTACTTGTACAATAATAAAAACAGGGTTATAACACCTGGATCTAAATATAGCTTTTATAAAACCAAAAATCAATGAATACAATTAAGGACACAACCTGGTCAACCTTCATTTCTCTTGTGACCTGTGTAAATTACATTTGAATCACTATCATTTACTTTGCTATTCATGACTTTCAGAGCTCTGTATTTTCAGAGTTGAAATGACAAAGACAAAAGCAGTTGTTGTTCCAGAAACATCTGGAATGATGGGACTTCTTGTTTGAGTTCCGAATATGCATTTCTCTTCACAAATCAAATCAAGTTTCAGGTAGGTAATTCGATAATTGTAAGGATGAGGTGTTGTATCTTTCACACATTTTTTCATTGAACTTGGGGAGGAGCCAGGGGGCGGATCAAGTGTCACTGACTGACACTTGACCCGCCGCCGTTGACCTGCGGTGACTCGGGAGAAGAAAACAAAGACGGTAATTAGCAATGTCGAAAAGAACAAAGTTATCTGGTGCCCGGGGAAGAAAGAAAAGAGGAGGGCAAACGGGAGAAAGACAAAGGTAGGCTACAGTAACGTTAATGTGATGATGATTAATCAAAGTCAAATTGTAGTTACCGTTGATGGAACAGTTTTAACTTGCTAGCTTACTTTTAGACGATAGCAAGGTCGTTTGTTTGCTAATCAATAGTTACATTTAGAGTTAACGTCAATTAGTACCGTTACTCCCACCTTAAATTCAGGGACATTTGGAAAGATTATTCAGATGTTAAATCACCGGTTATATATCATCTACTATATCTGTTGAGGCGAGCCAATGTTTGCCCTGCTTGTAGTAATAGGCTAGTAATGATGATAGTCATTAAAATTGCTATTCCTTTTACATCCCCTCAATCATTTATAGTTGTAGGCCTTTAATTGTATTGCCTTACAGTTTATGCTGTCTAAAGTATGTTCAATAGTGTAACGTTTACATCAGTGTTAAAATGCTTGTCACTACTGTAAATACTGCATACCTTCGCCTTTATCTTTAATATGCTATATTACATGTACGTAACTGCTTCTTTGCCATCTGGTAAGTCGCAGAATCTACAGGTGCATCTAAAAGAATAACTATACAATAGAACTGTTTTTCTTTAATTTAATAAAACAAATGAATCATATATTCTAGATTCATTATGCATAAAGTGAAATATTTCAAACCTTTTTTGTTTTAATTGTGATTCTTACAGCTTACTGATCATGAAAATCAATAATCCTGTATCTCAAAATAGTATAATATTAGATAAGGATTTATAATATAGATATTTCGATCTTCTGAAAAGATTGTTCAAATATGTGCTCAATACTTGGTCGGGGCTCCTTTTGCAGAGATAGATGCATACATTTTACATGATATGGAGGCAATATATTCCATGATATTCTAATTATTTTGTGAGCTGCACCTGTCCCCTCCACCTCAGCAGAGCCAAGTGATAAAGCATCAGGGATAAAGGCTTCACCAATAGACCCTGCTCACTGGCCATCTGTTCTTACTGATAATGACAGGACAGAGTTTGTTCAGAGTGGACCATATCAAGTGAAACATAGTTTTACCTTTTGCCAAACAAAAAGATGGGAGAAGGTGTCAGCAGGACTATTTTAACAAAGTCTTAATCAACGGAGAAAAAATCAAAAGAAGCTGGTTGATGTATTCAAAAAAGAATGATAGCTTGCACTGCTTCTGCTGCAAAATGTTTTCACAGAGAAATTACAAACTCAATAGGGAAGGATTAAAGGACTAGGAAAATGCAAGTCACTTGAAGAAAGCAAGGAGCACAACAGAAACATGGCAACATGGAAGGAGTTAGACGGCCGTCTTGCCAGGGGGCTTACAATAGATATGCAAGAGATGGCCCTTGCTCAGGCTGAGAGAAATAGGTGGTGCGACATTCTCACCCGACTCGTGGCAATAATTCAGTCCTTAGCAGAGAGAAACCTGGCTCTGAGGGGGTCCACAGACACATTAAACCAACCAGACAATGGCAACTTTTTAAAAGAAGTGGAGCTTATGGCCAAATTCGATCCAGTTATGAAGCAGCATGTTGGTAGGGTGGAAAGTGGAGCTGGCAGTCACACACATTACTGTATATGGGCACAATAATTCAAAATGAACTGATTGACGCAATCAGCTCTAAAATACTGGACACAATTGTGGAAGAGATAAAAACTTCTAAGTATTTCTCCATCATTTTGGATTGCACTCCAGCAGTCAACAGGGGAAAGTTTGACATTGCTCATTCTCAAAAGGCTGGAGGAACTTAACATCCCCTTTGAGGACTGCAGAAGACAGTCATATGACAACGGTGCCAACATGAAGGGTAAGAATAAAGGTGTTCAGGCTAGGTTGCTTCACAGAACCCAAGAGCTTTTTTGTCCCTTGTGGTGCTCACACCTTAAATCTGGTGGTAGCTGATGCTGCAAAGAGCTCACCAGATGCGATAGGGCCCAGTGCTTCTCAAAGTGTGGTCCACGGACCACTGGTTGTCCGTGAGCGCCCCCTAGTGGTCCGCAAGTATATTGGTAACATTTCACATTTTAAATAAATAAATACATTTAAGTTTTCCGCACTCTCGCGGGAATATCTTTGCAATGGAGCGAGGTTAAGTTTCACTTTTGATTGTATGATATAGCCCAGCGCAACACCTTCGTCACACATGTTGCCACTTGTTTGTACCATTTTCAGGCGATTTGTAATCTGTTCTAGATAAACGATGCAATTTTGGATATTTGTGGAGTTAGGTGGTCCGCGAGTGTTTTTTTATTGGTTAAGTGGTCCTTGATAGATAGGACATCCTGCTGAAACATAGATGGGACATCCTGCTGAAACATGTCAAAACAACCCTGAAATCGTGGTCAGAGACCAGATGGGAAAGCAGGATAAAAAACATTGAGGCAGTAAAGTACCAGGCTGGGCAAATCAGAGAGGCTCTTCTGGAGGTGAGGGAAACAACTGCAGACCCTGTGGTGAGAGTTGAAGTCCAGTCTTTGGCTGGGGAGATTGGATCTTACCGTTTTGCCATTTGCACAACCATATGGTATGACATCCTCTACATACAAGATCCAGCATGTGAGCAAACTGAGGCAGTCACCCTCCATGCAGTTAGATGTGGCTGTCGACCTGCTGAAGAAAACAGGAGACTCCCTCACCTGCAACTACAGAAGGACTGGATTTTCTGATGCACAGACAACTGCAAAGGAGATGTGTGAGATCCACAAAACGGCAGTTTGGTTATGAGTCTCCAGATGAGCCTATTGATGATGCACTTAAAAAAATGGAAATCACATTTTTTAATGTGGATACAGCCCTCTCTTCACTTGATGAGAGATTTCAGCACCTTGGAGAGGTAAATGACAAGTTTGGAGTGCTCATCAACTTTCCCAACACATCAAACGAAGAACTGCCACAGCACTGTCAAACCCTGAGCTCTGCTCTGACCCATGATGGACAACCAGACATTGATGGCAGGGAACTTGCTGCAGAAATGCAACATTTTCCACATTTGCCATCAAAGAAGATGACAAACATGGAACTATTGACCTTCCTTCATGAGAAGAAGCTAACAGAAATGTACCCCAATTTGTGGGTTGCTCTGAGAATCTCTGCCACTCTTCCTTTTACAGTGGCTGCTGCTGAAAGAAGCTTCTCAAAGCTCAAACTGTCAAAACGTACCTGAGAGCTTCTATGGGACAAGAACGTCTCAGTGGACTATCCATCATAAGCATCAACCATGTGGTCTCAAAACAGCTGTCGTATGATGATGTCATAGATAATTATGCTTCAAGAAAGGCAAGAGAGTCAGGCTAAGGTAAGGTGTTGAGGTGTGAGATTGAGGCCTTTAGTATTTTAATGGGGGTTTATGTGAAAAAGTGAGGATGAGCTTGAGCTGATTTATGTTGACCGTTTGGTCCTACTGGAGTTATTGTGGATTTCATTTTGTTAATTAAACATCATCAACATTTCTACATCAGTATGGACTTTCTTATGGAAAATGGACCTGAGCCTAAAGCCAAGTTTAGCCTCTTGGCTTTAGCACACAATTCATAAACACTATACTTGCTTTAACTGTAACCAGGAATGACACCTGTGGATTCAGAAACATTATATGTAAAAGAACAAAGGGGAGATTTCAGTTGTTCGTCAGGTCAGGCAACAGCAGAGAGCAATCTTATTGACCAGGCTATTGATTATGAACATAACCACTGTCCCAGTAACCAGTGTCCACATCAGATGGACCTGTGACCTACAGACTCAGGATAGATCCAAGACATCCATGACTGGAGAGGCACACGGGATTTCATGTATATTAAAACAAAAATATATACAGTATATATTTTTTTAAAGTATATGTTTTTACTGTATTTTCACCTAATACTAATTTTAAAAGAAAATGGCACACATCATTGAAAAATATAGCACTACCATAAATACTATGATAAATACTATACGTTATTTAGGAGAGTGGTAGGTTATGTATGACCATATTACATTTATTTTTGTTTCACAAACAACACTGCTTTCATGTGTCTTGCTGGTTCAAAAAGCCTACAAAAGCACAATTGATGTTTTTATTGTATGTCGCTTTTATCGAGTTGCCCAGATTGTGATATTTCTCTGTGGTTCAACTCATGACACCATATTGATGAAAATTGTTATTTAAAAAATCAGGACATGTTTCAAAGTTAATCCTCGCTAGCACGTTATGTGGAGGATTTTAAGACGCAATCACAACACAATATCAGGAGCTCTTCATCGCCATGGTTTCCAGACACACAGCATCAATCTTCAGCTATCAGACCCCGTCTCCACTCCACTACCTGCAGCACTTTGAGATTCTTGGAGGCACTGAGAGAGAACAAGCTATTAGGCATGTGTGAGAGAAACATTAGGCTGGTTCAACCATCAGTGATAAACAAAGAGGATTTGTTTGATTGATTTGTTTTTTTCAAATACAGAGCGAGACCAAACATGGCCAACAGAGTGCACTATTTACCAGTGATTCTCCTCCCAGCGCTTTGTTCTTTTCTGACAACAAGGCTCTGAGGAACTTTCAACAAACAGTGAGATACATGTTTTCTGTTAGCTGTCTAAAATATTTGAGTGAGATACTTGCCAATTTAGGATTATTATATTGTTACAATCCACACGTTGCTTATGCTTTATATTTCTGCTCACTTCTCTCCATATTTTGCACAAGGCGTCCTCATTTAAAAAACATCCTAATTGAGCAGTTTAACATATATATTTCTCATTTATAAAGCCTTTTATTTATATATTTATTTATGGTTTTAGACTTTGGCATTAGCCTCCCTTTTTCATTTTCGTTTGTTATGTATTTATTGTTATGCACCAAATACCAAGGCAAAATTAATGCAGTTTAAGATCCTCATCAGATTATTTGTTATCTTTTTCTTGTCTTTCTTTTTCTTGAATACATTTATTTTAATTACATGAATAAGAGAAAACGTTGAAATGCAGAGAACTCTGAGGGTACTTTATAACCATGACATCACGTTATGTTATGCCAACGTACTTCCCCAGTTTATTTTCACCCTCTTCAATATTTATTGAGAAAGTGAAGGCCAATTAGCAACGGCCATTGGCCATTTCTCATGACGATCTAATGAGACTTTCCATGGAGTGTGTCACATGGAAAATGACACCAAAGACAAGCCTTTAAAAGCCAATAAAGGCATTCCTCAATAAGGAGCAAGGCAGCCATCAGTCCACTACTGTATGTTCCACCTGGGTGTCAGTGACATGCCCGCAGAGTTACAGTGGAAAGCCATCCTCCTGCTGCGCCCTGCTCGTCTTCCATATTTCTAATGACATGACCACAGCCTTCAACAGAGCGGGAACACAGCTGAACTTAGTAGAAATGGAGGACCAGAGATTAAAAGACGAGAGACCAGCTGAGGAACTGATGGGAGTCAAAGTGGATGTACAGTCTGAAGATCTGAACTCCACCCACAGTGACACAAGGCCGCAGATTCAGGGCAGGGATCCCAAAGGAGTTAACACGATTCTGAAGGTAAATATTCTGTAGCGTTACAGGAATTTTAAACATACATACAACTTGACACAGAACCTCCAGCACAAATATGTAATTTATGTGTGGAGAAACAGAGAACTAGACAGTCAAATAAACAAACCCACCATGCTCTGCATTCACCTCCTGCTGTCTCTATTGACCCATGTGATGCAAAGAGTTAAACCTGGTGGTGAACAATGATTATGACAATACATGCAAATTAGAAAGTGGAGCTTTTTAATAAATAAATGTGTCTATCTAGGACAATGACCTTTAATTTTGTTATCAGATAATATAAGACCACTATTTCCTCTGTGGTAAATATCAATAGGCTGCATTATACTGACCACAAGTGGACAGGATCATACACACAGGTCTATGTTGGCCCATGGTGATACAATACTACTCCGTAAAGCTAAATAAACATAGCAAATGTACATTCTATGCTATTTAAATCGGTTCAGTGCAATACATGTGCATGCATTACACATTATCCTCAGCCTGTCAACATGTTATCATCCAACCTCCACACCTCAGTATTGACTTTAATATGCTTGAGAAAAATCTGTCCCCAGAAGTCACTCTCAGTGTCTCTGTGTGTGTCTTCAGGTCACGTTTGAAGATGTGATCGCCGAGCCTCCCTCGGTGCGGAGCTTTGATAAAGTGTGGTTGTGGAGTCACGCCCTGTTTGAGGTGTCCAGACTGTGGATGTACCGGCTCATCTCTCTCCTCCTGGCGGTGCCGGTCTCTCTGGCAGCAGGGATCCTCTTCGCTGTGCTCAGCTTCCTTCACATCTGGTAGGACTGTTGTCACACTGAGATGTGAAGACTTACAGGCATAGAATAACTGATAAACGCTTTTCTGGTAAAAAGGAATCATGCAGAATGTAGTTGGAAAGATTTAGTGACACACGCTTTTCCCTGCTATATGTTTTGGTTACAGTTTATAGAAGTGTATAAAGATGTATTCTTTTTTTATCAAAGAGATGATCTAACGTTGTGTTCATGTCCCTGTTTCTCTCCAGGTTGATCATGCCCTGTGTGCAGCTGCTTCTCATCAACATGCACTGGGTTCAGACTGTGTGGGGCAGCATACTCAACATTCTCATCAGCCCATTATTCACCAGTATGGGAAAGTGCTGTGGTCAAATCACCATCCATCTGGCAACAGATGAAGACAGATAGAAAAATGTGTAAATGATAAAGCTACATCATGATTATTAGTCAATGATTATTTTGTATTATGGCTCACCTGGCATGGTATTTGCCATGCTGAGACCAGTTTGAATGTGTACCTTTTTTGAATAATGTGATTGTGTGATGCATAGAGGTGCCTCTAAGCTGGAATATGATCAACCATGTGTTAATAGGTTATGTGGGTGATTGGTACTAACACTTTCTAATGCTCAATTTCAGAAATAAACAGCAAACAAATCCCATATAACAAAATGATAAAGCTGAGAGTCTCAGGATGAGGTTTTCTTTATTTTTAAGAATGATTTGATGATGTGTGATCATAAATATGTTGAAAAATACACCTATCAAGAATTCCATTAAATTGTGTTTCTTTTCTTGATTGTGTTTACTATTTTGATCTGTATTGCGATAAAGTTGACATTTCAGAATGTTTTCTTGAATTCAGTTACAATACTTATTGTCCCATATCAAAGAGGACTTTATCACATTATTTGGTATTAGTTTTCTGGCATATTATTATACATTTATATAATATAAATACAAAATACAGCATGCAGCTAGTGTCACTAACTAATTAGAACTTACAAATACTTTTACAAAGAGCTTCATGGGGCACAATTAAAATAAATCAAGTAGTAATGACAATGATTGATGGAAAATGTATTGATTTATGAAGGAGTGATGAACGGAAAACATATTGGCCAATCATGATCATGCAAAAGTGAGAATTTTTACGACGGGGTATCTAAAGGTATTTCTTGGACCGGGGCACGGTCTGTTGAATCTTGTTGCCATAGAGGTTGCTAGGCAACAACCGGAGGCTCCAATAGGACACTTCTAACATTCAACACACAAAACATAATCACACACACGTAACATCCCGTAAAATTACAACTTGCCTTTTTAACACAGTTTTTGAATTTGCAGATGTTGTAAAGGTCATGTGACATATATAACAGATCTCTGGAATCAAGGCTTATAACAAATACTATGTTTGAAAGTGTAGTTGATATTAAAACACATGTTGTATGCGTCAAGTAACACATCCAGCACTGTTCATTAAACTAACCCGAGTAACTGATACCCACTCACACCATTACATTCTATACGACTCTAAATTTAGGTCTGTCTGTCTACATTAAATGAAAGACAGGAGCCAGTGCGGTCTCAGCTGATTGCATTGACACCCATAGAGTCAGAGGTATGCCCACGACTCTCTGCTGAGCTATTTCTGTCACTCTACCTCCATACCTAACTGGACTCAACTCTCTCCATTGCCACGCCAAGAATACTCCTCTAATTGGGTTGGCTCTCGATCACATGCACTCAGATCCCATTCCACCCCTCCTTGCTGTGAGACCTTTTAGCAGTTTTCAAAGGAGCCTCCTCCTCTTCCTCCTCTTTTTGGCAGCACCATGCTTTATGAGATTGTTTGTTTATGCAACCTGCTAATATAGGAAGCTACATGCTGTATGAGGGATAGCAACAACTGCACAGCTTAAGCAAGACTGAATCAGAGTTTATTTTAGGGACCGTTGGATTTTACGTTTTTAGCCCTACCTTAAATCGGAATTGCACGTCATAGGAGACTCAGGACACACCTTCTGAGAACTCTCTAGTGCATAGACTATGAAATGTATAAAAAGCAAAAAAAATTATATGAACATGTGAGGGGTCATTACGTTTGCCTCTGTAAATATAAGAGGTATGCATTACACGCATTTATCCTAAACAAAACCATCAGAAAACTGATATTTCATACTCGGTGTTGCAGTATTTTTACTCTATGAAGTGTCAAATCTACGGTTACAGTGACAGAGGAGGTACAGTAGAGTTTTTCAAACTGGCACAATGTCAACAATGTGGCATCTACTAACCTGACGTACAGTTTCACACATGATGAAGGTGTTGAATTGATACATAAAGCTTCAGCAAAGTGCCAATGAATGTGAATCACATTTTTTCTTCTGAATGACCAATGATAGTACAACATTTAGTACTATTATCCTCACACTTGTGTTAAGTAGTACACTTTTGATCTCTCTTTTGTTGTGGAATGTGGTTTGAAACACGTAAAAACGTTTTTCTTTTCAAAATAGCTTCAGTATTAGGATGTAAAACTGTGTCCTAAGCTAAGCCCGAGCAGCAGGGTGTGTTTGTGCTCACTGCCTCATCTGTGGTGGAAGTTCGTGCCACTGTGTAAACCCTTCCCAGTGAGCCCCACAGCCCTATGTGAAATGTGACACAACCCTGGGTGCTCCTTTAAGGCATGCCTTTTCTATGTGTGTGCATTACCATGTGTGTGTTTCCACTGTCTGTGTGTGAGGGCCTGTGTGTATGCAGGGTGGGGGTCAAGCCTCCATTTTTGCCAGGGCGTCCTCAGCAGCTGTCAACTGGCATGCCAGAGGGAGCGTCACTCACAGTGGTGATACAGGGGTGCAGACGTGAACCGAGGCTCTGTGCAGTTTGATCCAGGAAGGTTTACTCTCACCGTCTCCGGCCCCACCATGGAGGATCAGTACCATTACAACACCAACGAGGAAAAGATTGTGAAGGACAGCCACACCAAGGAGATTGATCTGATCAACAGAGACCCCAAGCAGATCAATGAAGACGTGGTGAAGGTTTGTGCAGCATAGAGACACCACCCTGTTACAGAGAGGATTAGGAACATAACCTGTTATGTGAGGAGATCAAATTAATGAAGTAGAGACAAAGACAGGAGAAGAGATTACTATACTATCTGGAAAATCCCTAAATAGATCAAGAGCTTTTCCTGTTGCCTGGGCAGAACCCAACGTTTATTTTGGGAATGGGGTAGAAGTGTGTGTAACTGATACACTGTGCCTGTGATTTATTACGTTTTGACTACTGTTTATCCTGTGATCGTTGCCCTGTTATCGCAAGAAAAAGAAATCACTAAGAAAAAAAACTAAAATGTCATTATTTGTTATGACTGCAAGGGGTTTATGGTCAATGAAGATGGTTAATTACACGTTATTAGCAGAGTATATGTTCAGTATCTGCATTACTTAGTTTGAACTGATTTGCATGTCTGTTTTAAGCTGGAAAGTGTTTTAAACTTACTGCTAACAGTCTGGTCTTTAGCATTTACACGTTTTATTCACGCAGTCATTTTCTGCGTACATTTTCAAATAAAGTAATTCTAAAGTAATTCTAATTGAAACCTTCAACCTAGTCAGGAACCTTTCTGGACGTTTGCAAGCTCAGGGTGTCCATTTATAGTTTCCAAAGGACACTGACTGTCCTTATGCTGAATTTAACTCCAGCAATTCTTCTAAGAGCTGAACGAGGCCAGAGCTGACAGAAGATATAAAACAGTGCATGTTTAGCCATTTATTCAGATGATATCGGGAGGCTATCTGCAGTAAACGCACAACCGATGGTATCCAGACTCCAGAGCTCTGAAAGAAAACAAAAGGTTTTAGAACTGTTCGTCTGTCTGTCATGATTAAGTTGATTTGCATTTCATATATGAGTCTAATCTCGGAAAGCTTTTCGAAAGGGGAAGGTGACACATACTGAAAACAGATTAGACGATTGTACAGTTGCTCTCATGCATTTTACATGAGGTGAACTTCAGTTACTAAGAAGTAGGTTGGAAGAGAGCTTTTAGAAATGATTGTAATCAGTGTTAAAAGCCACTCCATAACTTTGCCATGACATTCAGGGAATTTTTCAACACATAATTGTTTTTTCTGCATACATTTGACCCCAACACTCTGCAGCTTTCACACGTCTTTGCACTTCAGATATTCAGAGCCCAAAGAGCTCTGTTTGAGGGAGAGGAAAAGTGGTGTTCACTCAGGGATGTGTCGTAATGAAAGCCCCTTTTTAAATGTCCCTTTTAGGTGGACTTTGAGGATGTCATTGCAGAGCCTGACGGGACACACAGCCTGGATGGGGTTTGGAAACTCAGCTACACCACCTTTACTGTGTCCAAGTACTGGTGCTACCGCATCCTGTCTGCTGTCTTTGGCATCCCTGTTGCTCTTCTGTGGGGCTTCCTGTTCGCTTGCATCTCCTTCTGCCACATCTGGGCCGTGGTTCCCTGCATCAAGAGCTGCCTGATCGAGTCGCAGTGCATCAGCCGCATCTACTCCCTCTGCATCCAGACCTTCTGTGATCCCTTCTTTGAAGCCCTGGGCAAGGTCTTCAGCAGTGTGCGCGTTGCAGTGCGCAAAGAAGTCTAAAAACTCACACTGTAGTGTTTATAGTATGATCGGATGAAGTGCGGTATCTTTTTATACACCAGAAGTTCAGTCCAGGCGTCTCAGTCCCTCATACTCCTCCTCCTTCCTTCATAACATGCCGTTCCCCACCCACCCATCCTCAAGCTGGGTCCTGATATGCCCTGTGTGCCTATTGCCACCATGAAGCCCAGTGACAGCTGCAGCAGGCAGCGTGGTTCTGTGACAGCTCTGGCACTCCTGCAGGGCTCTGTGCGTCTCACTGAGGGAGGAGAGGACTGCCTGCCATGACCAGGATCTGTCTGTAATCATGTATTTGTGTCACAAAAAGCCAAAGACATTCAACAGATGATATAAACCCCCCAACATTGCTCAACCTGTGGACAATGCTCCATGTATGCATTACATTTTGCCATTATTAAATATTGTATTGATGCTGTATGTGCCTGGTAAAGTTTAACTCTATATTAATGTCAATGATTAATGTAATTGGATTTGGTATAATGACCTTATTTAAAGAGCTCTAACAGAAAGAAAGTATTTGAAAAAAAAATCCTCTACATAATTATTTTATCATTTGTGATGAAACTAACTTTCTTGCTTAATTGTACATGTAAGAAATATGTTGAACCAACCATGCAGATAAACTACTTCCTTTTACCGAAGCGTGAGATTAGTGGAATCTTTAACTGCTCCACATTTCAGTCACGTCTGTTAACAAGTATGCAATTAACTACTGGTGGAGTAAAGTAAGGAGGGAATTGTATTTGTCAACAGTGTTTTATTAATTATGTATAAAGTAAAAGGCCTTTGCTGCTATTGTGCACCTCTAGTTGAGAAAGGTTAATTATACATGGGCTGGAACTTTTCTAAGTACACTTCACGATTTATGAAACTGTCCTTATAATAAGTGTATTGCATCACTGGTTCACCGTTTGCTTGAAAGTATATTATGTGTGTTATTTCAGGTCAATGTGAGAGGCTGGAGAAATACATTTTTAAGATTCACCAACCATCTTAACTGCGTTTCAGTGATTTTTGTTACAGTGACCTGGGAGCTGTGACCCACTAGAGGCTGCTGTTGTGTCTCTTTCACAGTGTCTCATGGTGTCACCACGCCCTTCTTTGTTAGTGTTCTTCTGGCCAACACATCCTGGTCCTTTACTGCATCTGGAAATTCACTGCTAGAGATAATATGTGCAGAGACATCACACCGTGTTAAAGCATTAGTCTGATGAAGGATTGTGTCAACAAGAAGCAACAGTGATTTATTGGCCAATACATAGAAAGTCAATATGCAGACTAAAAATGCAGCCAAGAAAAAAACACATTCTCCACAATTATAATTTAATTATATATGTTGGCCTATTTTGGAAATGATTAATTAAACATGAGCAATTGCAAACATACTGTTAATAAAAAATTGTCCTCCACACATTGTGGGAGATTTAAAAATGAAAATAAATATATTTGGTAATGAAGTTCAAAGCAAAGTTATTTTCTTTAACTCTAAATTACCAATTCAGTTAATAGTTATATTACTATTAACAAACTATTACATTAAAAATGAAAACATGTTTACTAATTAATATAATATAATATTAATAATGCAGTAATGTATGCCTGATCATTATAATACCATGGTTTACCATGATTAATGTTCAGTCAGACAACTCACGTGTTGCTTTAACATGTTTATTAGAAGCAGCATATAGTTGAGTTTGGCGGCTAGGCTCGGCCTCATCATTCCACAGATATACATAGCACGATGAGTGATGATTAAATAACTAACCCCTGAGCCTACAGGTGGAAGGGTGGTGGTGGGGCAGGCAAGCAGCAGCGACGTGGAAGTAGCAGCAGCAAGCAATGCATAGAGAGATATCTGGCAGGTTAAATAGAGCGGCATATTAAGGAGACTCTGTTTGGTTGGTTGTAGAGTGGCAAGGGGCATTATGAATGCAGCATAAGTGTTGTCGAGTTGACTGCCTGAACTAGCTCGCAGGCTTCGCCCCATTTCTTTACAGACATAATTTCTTCTCAAACAAGACTCACCTCTTGTGCTTAATTATCTTGGGGAAAGTCACATTCTTAGGATAAACCCCCCCTAAATATTACTTAATTTGTTTTAATAATTTCTATTTTAGTTAGTTGATAAGCTCTAAAACGTAAACAATACAATTATAAAATCAAAGCAACGATACAGTGTACTGCAGTTAAATACCCAGCAGCTAACCTGTATAAACATGATTTACTTAAAGGGCCCATGTCATGCTTTTCCAGGGTTGAAAGGTTGTATGAAGTTTTTTATGCATGTAAACGGTCAGCAGAGTCAAAAACCCTCAAAGTACACCCTGTAGCGAGTAAAACTCTAACACAGAAAATACCTGTCTATCCACGGAGCACCTCACACACCAGGATCCCTTGGCTAACTAACAGGGAGTCCCCATTGAGTTGCATAAGCTCCCTGAACACTGTTAATAGACTAGTTGGGATCGCGGAGAAATGCTCTCCGCAGACCATTCTCACAGCGTTATAAACCTTTTTCTTACTCAATATCAAGCCACACTTATTGTTTTTACTTCGGCTGTGAGTGTTTGTGTGTGCTCAGGATGGCCCAATCCCATACCGCCCCCTACACCCTATCCCTACACACTACCCCTCCGTTTGCGCGTTCGCGCGGAGGCGGGTCCGCCATATTAAGTGCTGTTCCAAACCAACGAGTGTGGAGCGGTGTGGAGGGGGAGTGGGCTATCAAGCACTCAAACAGCGAGGTTGCGGTCGAATAATCCAACAATCAGCGCCTAACGTCTAACCCTATCGTCTATTCCTTGACCTCTGAGTGAAACGTCACAGGGTTAAGGGATAGTGGATAGGAGAATTCAAAAGGATTTAGGAGAAGAGACTGCAGTAGCCTACTTTAGAGAATCCGACTGCACTTTCACTATATGACGTGTTTATGATAAGCCAGCGGATGTCATAAATGTGCGTCTGATGCTGTGGGGAAACTATGGAAACTACAGTTTTCTGTACAGCGGACTACAACATGGATGTTTAAAAAGAACGACGGACTACTGTAAACTCATCTAGAGACTCTGCACCGTGCTCTGATGCTGTTGCTTTATGCTTTATGAACGTGGACAACAGAGAAACATATTCTTCATGACCAAAGTTGGAATTGAAATAAAAAAGGAAAGTGACACTTATGCTCGTCACCCTCTCCCTCCGGTCCACATTAATACAAATGATCCCAATACGTATGATTGTATGAACTATGAAAATATCTTAAAATCAATACAGATGTATTTATTATAAACGTTAGTCCTTAACATCTATCACTGTGTATATCACCATTCAAACATCTTTTAAAAGTTGAACAAACTCCCCACAGCTCAGTAAAGACTGTGAAATGTTGACTTTATTTGATCATTTCAGTAAAAACTAACGTTCATATTTCTCTTTTTGATTATAATACTGATGAACGTTCAAAACAAAGCACCGTAACTTTCATAATATAATTTCTCGGTCATAATCGGTTGTTTCCGTGAACGGCCGACTGTTGTGTGACGGCAAATGCTGCGGCCGCAAGGCATTGTGGGGCTGCATTTTCTCTTCTCCTTTCGTCAAGGGAGGTCCAGTGGTTCCTAAGCTAAAGGAGGTTGGAAAGGAAGTTTGAAACCTCCTTTCCTTTCATTTAGAGAATTCGAACGGTGTCGGTACCATTGTCACTACACGATCCGTCCCCCTGCCCGATCGGCACTGCGCATGTGCGAGATGGTCCGCCATATAGGACAACTCCGGACGGCAACCCAAGATGGACACTTGACACAGTGGCTTTTAGCAAAGCTCAAAAAGAAAACTCGACAGAGTTGAGTTATTGTTATTACAACGTGACTTCACTATTATTTAACAACTCTTTTTATTGGGTTCTTTTATTTGGGGTTAAGTACATTGTCAGAATAAGTGAGAAATGGATTTAACTTCTGTTAGACAGCTATCATACTGGCGGAAGTGCGCCGGTGTCAGTACCAGATATGTTCGGGCTACCAGATATGTTCGGGTGTATTTCCGTCGCATCCGTCATCCGTCATATCCGTCTACTCACCTCCCTCTGCTCCCAGCGCTCTGCTGCCACACACCGGCCGTCTGCGGAACTGCAGCCGGAGGAACTCGGTACAGCTTGTTATGTGTGTGTACTTGTGCACATAAATAATGTTTCTAATTATTTACAATTAAAAAATATATATATTCTGCGTTACTTTAGCCAACACTTTTATAATATATAAGCCTGATCATGTCGTTGAAAGCAAGTACAGATGTTCTCCCTTTTCCACAGTTCTGTGTGAACTTCATCTAAGGCAGATGCTTTGCTTCTGCACCAGTTTAGCAGAAGTCTGTTTTGTAAGACTGGTTTTGTTGCAGTCTGTTCATGCTATGTGTTTCTTGCGTAAGACTATATACACACGGAACACATGTATTACAGGGCTGTACCCAGTGTGCTTCATAAAACATTTTTTAAGCTTATTTTTTTTAAATTAAGCCGTTTCCATGTTATAACAGCATCTCGTTAAATCAATATCGGAAACAATAATTGTTTTTTTGTGGTTGTT